CCTTCTTTACTCCAAAATATACATGTGAGTAGCATAAGCATAGTTTAATGCTATAGACTGAATCCTGATTGATGTAAGAGTGTTTATTTGACTGAATGCTATAGACTGAATTCTGCTTAATGTAAAAGTAGGCCTCATATTTTACAGAAGCAGGCTATATCATGTCCTCCTGGGTCCATAATTTAATCACAAAAATAATATCCAGGTAACAAAAACTTTGTCTTCTTAAGCATTTGTTACTAGTAGTAGCATTCCATGTGATTAGCTGTTGACTGTTACCCCAGGAGGCATGTTGAGTATTCTGCAATCTCTTCCTAATCAGCCAGTTTAAAAGCACTTGTATGGAGGGATGGTCTGGTCTAATAAAGGTAGCACAGACACTTTTCAATACTGTGAGTAGTGTCTAGCCAGCAGCTCTGCCATTTGACACAATGGTAATATCCTAAGAGGATTTCACTTTAGATTTGTGAAGTACTCGGTCAAGACATTCACTGTTTGGAATTGTTCACAGGGAAATTTTTAGCAGACAACATCGTTGGGTCTGTCCTGGTTTTCTCCTTGATATTTTGGATTCCTTTCAGCATTCTTGTCCATTGTGTGGTAAGTCACCAACTTTTAAGTAATTAAACATTTTCTTTTTTTTTTTTTGAGATGGAATCTTGCTCTGTAACCCAGGCTGGAGTGCAGTGTCGCGATCTCGGCTCGCTGCAACCTCCGCCTTCCGGGTCCTGGTTCAAGCAGTTCTCCTACCTCAGCCTCTCAAGTATCTGGGATTGCAGGCACGAGCCACCATGCCCAGCTAATTTTTGTATTTTTTAGTAGAGACAGGGTTTCACTATGTCTGGTCTTGAACTCCTTGTGATCTGCCTGCCTTGGCCTCCCAAAGTGCTGGGATTACAGGCATGAGCCACTGCCCCCGGCCTAAACATTTTCTTTAAATTTTGATCAACTCCATTGTGATCTTTGGAAAAGATAAAACTTGTTCTTAGCAAAGTCTGGCCTGATATTTCCAATAACTTTTTTTTAGTGTTATTCCTAGGGGAGCATGTCTTGTAGAAAGCTTGGCTAATGGTCTTTTAAAAAAATGATACTCTTTTTGCATGTTGGTGTTTTATTTTAATATAAAATAAATTGTCTCAGGAATTTTATACTTGGAAGCATAGGAGACTGTTTAACTGATTTGTCCAGGTCCTTTGATGAGTAGAGCCCCTAATTAAGGGCATGTCCGGGCTGACTTTGTTGCAATACAGCAAATGTCAAACATTAGCATTTCAGATGTTTCCCATATATCATATAGATTCTTGGTAGCAGATGGCTATGTGTTCAGCTTTCTGCAGAAGCAGGATGTAGGGATTGGGGCCCAGCTATCATATAGAGTATTCACATCTTCCTAAATAAATAAGAGTAAGCAGTCTTCTGTTCTCATTATCAGTAATAGCTACAAGTTGAATTGGGCTTTGACTGAGGAACTCCAGGTACTTTATAAATTTGAGGCCCTTTTTCATAAATGTTCTTACAAATCTATTCACTTGCATCTGTGGGGAGTGGGTATTTGTCTGCCGTAGAGATGAGAAAATCAGACCCAGGCTTCCAGACTTGTTCTCCGAAATTCTTTCACAGTGCCCTTCCTATGAGCACTTAAAAGTTCCAGCACAGCTCTGCTAACTAAGTTTTTCCTGCCGCCTCCTTCCTTTCCTTTCTCACTGGTTTCTCCTGCCTAGGGGCCATCTCACCGAGCAGCTTTTTCCTTGGGGTGGTGAGCATGATGGGTGTAGGGAGGAAGATCTCTAGGGAGCACTTCTGCTGAAGAAAGCTGTTTTAAAGGTGACATGCTTGAAGCTTTGACAGATGTCTCTGGATAACAGTGCCATCTATCACGATTGCTATTGGAGGGTGGAACCTATTTTTTTTACAGGGAAGTTGCACATGTGGGCAAGGCACAACCCTTGATTTTAGAGCAAAGCCTCTGACAGGAGGGAGGGCTGTGGCTTATTTCTGGCCATAGAATACATTGATGGCAGCTAGACAGGAAGCCTAGGCCTGGATTCTTGGTTCTTGCCCTCTGTTGCCTTCAGTCACAGGCAGGGACGGGGCAGCAGGTGGCCATGTGGTCAGCCTTCTGCAGAAGTAGGATGTAGGGATTGAGGCTTAGTTCTTCCAGCAGATCGTGGTCCACATAAACTGTTGTGACAGTTAAGAAGAGAGTGAGGCTATGGGCCAGGGCAATATGAGGGAAGCGGCAGGCCCAGCCACCTGGGTCTTCCAGCCACCTTTCCAGTCAGTGTGGTCCTGGTGTACCCAGCATCTGGGACATTTGACACTTAATGTACAGGAAGATGCCCTTGTTATTCCCCTGCCCACAGAGGGATACATTTCTCACACAGCACTTAAACCTTGCCTCTTTCTGTACTTAATGCCAAAATATATTTCTTTGAGTGCAGAGCAAACACTTCTAGACTGGTGGTATAACTAAAGCTGGGGTGAGAAATGCATTCTAATCATTGAGCCTGCTATCACTTTCTACAACTCAGCTTCTAAGTTCTTCACTTAGTGTTAAGAGTAGCCTGGGAGGAAATAGTACTCCCTAACTGAATTTTATTTGTAGGAATGACCTTTTTTCTTGCTGTTCCTTTTTTTCTAGGATAAGAAATTGGATAAGCAGTATGAATCTCTGTCTCTATTTCACCCCAGTGTGAGTATACCACATGAAAGAAACATAATCTTCGCCTTGTCTTTGAGGCCCTGTTAGGCAAAGACCTTTACTTGACCCAGTAAGAACTTTCTTACTGGAAGGGTCTAGGTTGGAATGTTTGCGCTCCTGACAATAGTGATGGTGAACATTGATTAGCTGCATGGATGGTGATTTAAATAGCTGTGCTGTCCCCTTCCCAAACCATAAGGAGTGATTTAGCTCTTCCACACTTAGCTAATATTTTGAGATCAATTTCTGTCTTGGGATCTTACCTTGAGAGGTTTGAATCTTCTTTTGGATCATCAAATGGTAAGTTTTCAGGATGCTTGAAAGCTAGTAATTGCTGTTTTTGCCATTAAAAGAATTGCATTAATTACTTTTGCACCAACCTAGTATTTTCTAGTTACTTCTTAGGTTGAGTGAGCCTCACCTCTTTTTTTTTTTTAGCAAGAGGCATCACAGTGCCAACAGAATAAGGTGCTCTTTGATGGGTAAGGTTGAACTATGAGGACCTGATTCATCTTTTTTCCCATCAATTGAACCCATGTCTTTCCAGAATGTTGAAATGCTGAGTAGCATGGATTCTGCATCAGTTCGCATTATCAAACCCTTTCCTGCACCCCAGACTCCAGGCCGCCTGCCGCCTGCCCCTGTGATCCCTTCAGCGCCAGCAGCTCCGAAACTGGACCACCAGAGAATGGACACCATCCAGGAAGACCCTAGCACAGACTCACATATGGATGAAGACGGGTTTGAGAAGGACCCCTTCCCAAATAGCAGCACAGCTGCCAAGTCATTTGAGGATCTCACGGACCATCCGGTCACCAGAAGTGAAAAGGCTACCTCCTTTAAACTGCAGCGTCAGAATCGTGTTGACAGCAAAGAAACAGAGTGCTAGTTTAGTTCTCAGTTCTTTTCACTTAAGTGTGCAAAATATTTTTATAGATTTGACTTACAATCACAGCTTATTTTTGTGAAGATTGGGAAGTAAGGAAGTGACTTAACAGCAGATGCCGGTCATGTGTTTGAACTTCCTGCAGATAAACAGTTCTTGTGTGGTTCTGCCCGTCTCCTTTTGAAAAGGTAAGGTGAAGGTGAATCTAGCTTATTTTGAGGCTTTCAGGTTTTAGTTTTTTAAGTATCTTTTGACCTGTGGTGCAAAAGCAGAAAATACAGCTGGATTGGGTTATGAATATTTACGTTTTTGTAAATTAATCTTTTATATTGATAACAGCACTGACTAGGGAAATGATTTTTTAATACACTGTAATGAACCGCTGAATATGAGGCATTTAGCATTTATTTGTGAGGACAACTGGAACACAATAGGTTTAATTTTTGCCTTCAACTAAAAACAAAGGAGATAAATGTAGTTATACGTTGTCTCTAAATATACATTGTCTCTAAATTGTGGGTCTATTTCTAGTTATTACCCGAAGTTTTTAAGTAGCAGGGAGAATTATACATCTAGGTTTAGAAATTATTTGGGTTAATATGGCTCTTCATAATTCTAAGATTAATACTCCCTACTAGTATAACTGCCCACCTTACAGTGAGGGTGAGTGCTAGCTAGTTGAATTATGGAAGCCGATCAACCGTGTAGGGCCCTCATTTGCTGGGTAATTTTTCTGTGTAAGTATCTTCATGTATCCCTATTACTGATAGGGATACCTGCTCTTAGAAAATTCACTATCAATTAGGTGCAGTGGTTCATGCCTGTAATCAATCCCAGCATATTGGGTTGCCTGTTTTCAAACACTAGTGAATAAGAGGGTAAGATATTTCTTAAGAATAGGTTGTTTTGAATAGGCTGAGGTGTGATGAGCCAGCCAGGAAACTGAATGCTGCCTGCCCTTATGGTTGGGGGGCCATCCCTACAAGAACTGATTCTTCAGAAACCCCTTTTATTGACCCACAAGCAGATATTTGAATTATTTTATTGCTCCAGGACTCTGGAGGGGCTGCATTTACTCTGTGAAGGATAAAAACCATTAGCCTGAATTCTGATTTCTATAAATTGCCATTAAATGCTTTTTTCCCCTAAGAACCGAAATGTGCTCAGCAGCCAAAACATTTCAACTTGTAAACTTTGAGGGCAATTAACCAAACCTTTGACTAATCATGTCCTTCCCCCCCCAACTTTTCCAAGGACATTTGTTATGCAGATACTTGTTATACTAATACTTGAACTTGTACCTTATGGTATTTGCTGTCTTTTAACTAGTCACAATATTCTTGTATTTTAGTTACACTTTTGGAATTTGATACAAGGTGTGTGGGTGTATGCGTGCAGCAGTTTTCAAAAGAATGTAAGAAAACCATTTTTATAAAGTTGTGACTTTTTAAAAAAAAAAAGTCTTTTGTCATTTGTAAAATTAAGCTGCTTAGGGTATATTTTATAGCTGTAGCACTGATATCTGCATTAATAAATACTATCAAAACACAATGGGCCTAAGTACAAAACTTCCTTAAAAAAATCCTAATACTTTTATTATTAATATCATTGGCAAAGGTTTAAGCTGGAGGAAAAAGGGCTTTCTCTATGTATTGGCAACTTTGAGTTCTGTAGATTAATGAGCAGACTTGGGTCTCCTGTGATTGGCTAATGGTCTCCATCTCCTAGCAGACTTAATTCAGGTTTTGCTTCTGCTACATCCCGCCAGTAAGGTAGCAGCAAAGGCAGAGAAGAGACCTTTTTCTCTATCAAAGGCCAGAGATGTGAGAACAAAAATTCATTCCCCTTTGGTGACAAATGTAGTCCATCTGATAAATAGGATGAGAAGTCCTAGAAGGGAGAGAGAAATCGGTTAAAGGTGGGTAACTGGCCAGGTGTAAGTCACACTTGTAATTCTAACACGTTGGGGCCGAGGATCACTGGAGGACAGGTTCAAGACCCTGTCTCTACAAAAAAATTTTTAAAATACAAAAATTTTGTATTTTACAGGTCTGTGCCACACCGGGTGTGGTGGCACAGACCTGTATTCCCATCTACTTGGGAGGCTAAGGTGGGAGGATCACTTAAGCCCAGGAATTTGAGGCTACAGTGACGATCATTGCACCACTGAGCTCCAGCCTGGGTGATAGAGCAAGACTATAAGATTTTTTTTTTTTTTTAAAAGTGTGGGAGGGAGAGTATAACTTTTTCTGAATGCTAGTATGTAACATTCTCTCGTTTGTGGCCCTGTGACAGAAAGATCACCAGCCCCTTTCATTTTGGGCATCAGACCAGAGTTGTCTTAGACTACAGTGGCACTGATGTGCTATTACACAGGTGTTTGAACACAACCCTTATTATAGTACTGTCTCTGTATTACAGAACCAAGTTTCATGAAAGTCACTGTTAAATGAACTGGGACCTCATTCTAGGTCTTCTGAGTCATATGACATGATCCTCAGGTTATTGTTTGAAAGAGCCTTAACAGGGAAATATGGCCTATAAACATAATCAGTAAAAAATGAAAAATTTGGTATTAGGTCTCCCATGAGTTTAATATTATTTTTGACTTAGATTTTTAGGTCGAAAGAACTTGTACCATCTAACCTAGACTAGTAATTGCTGAGACAAGAGCCCAGTCTCGCTCCCACTCCCCTGACCTCAAGAGTATATATTTAAAAAAATATATATATATATTTTTGGAGATAGGTTTTGCTTTGTTGCCTAGGCTGGAGTACAGTGACGTGATCATGGCTCACTGCAGCCTCAACCTCCTGGGTTCAAGTGATCCTTCCAACCTCAGCCCCCTGAGTAGCTGGGACAACAGCCATGTGCCACCATGCCTGGCTAATTTTTGTACTTTTTGTACAGGCTGGTCTTGAACTCCTAGGCTCAAGCAATCCTCCCACCTTGGCCTCATGAAGTGTTGGGATTATAGGCATGAACAGCCATACCAGGCCCTGAACTCAAGAATTTTACCCATACAGCCATTTCTCACTTGGGGAAGAATCTCACTAGGCAAGAGCTCTGTTAGAATCTGGGTGCCAACTAGCTTATGTGACTTTCTTTTTTTTTTTTTTGACGGAGTCTCGTTCTTGTTGCTCAGGCTGGAGTGCAATAGCATGGTCTTGGCTCACTGCAACCCCCACCTCCTGGGTTCAAGCAATTCTCCTGCCTCAGCCTCCCAAGTAGCTGAGATTATAGGTGCCCGCCAACATGCCTGGCTAATTTTTGTATTTTTAGTAGAGATGGGGTTTCACCATGTTGGCCAGGCTGGTCTTGAACTCCTGACCTCAGGTGATCCACCCGCCTTGGTCTCCCAAAGTGCTGGGTTTACAGGCGTGAGCCCCCGTGCCTGGCCCAGTCTTGCCTTTTTGGGATACCAAGCAGATGGACTCATGTAGTATGTACCCTTCAGAGACCAGCTTCCTTCCCTCAGTGAAGCGCTTTGAGTCACCCATGTTGCTCTGTGTCAAGATTTCCTTTTTATTGCCAAGTAGTATCCCATTGCATGGACACGCCAGGTTCCCTATTCAGCCACAGAAGAACACTGGGGTGTTTCCAGCAGGCAGGAATGATGCTGCTGTCAACATCACACCCAAGTTATGTGTGATCGTAGTTTTCCTTTCTCTAGGGCAGATAACCCAGGAGTGGATGGCCAGGTCCTCCCTAAGTGTATGTGTGACTGTGTAAGAAAACGTCTAGCCACCTCCTGAGTAGCTGCACCTCTATAGGACCCACTTTTTATCTTTTAAAGCCTGAAAGCATATTCACAAATATAAAACAAAGTAATGGGCCGGGCGCGGTGGCTCGAGCCTGTAATCCCAGCACTTTGGGAGGCCAAGGCGGGTGGATCACGAGGTCAAGAGATGGAGACCATCCTGGTCAACATGGTGAAACCCCGTCTCTACTAAAAATACAAAACATTAGCTGGGCATGGTGGTGTGTGCCTGTAATCCCAGCTACTCAGGAGGCTGAG